GGATTGTATCAAGTGGTTCAGTTCATACGTGAACGCATTGGTACAATCAGACTTGAGGGCGCCCCACAGCTTTAGGGAATAGGTCATGTTCTTTGCCCTCTGGAGGTCATGAGTTCATTATATAAAATGCGTCATTTAGTTGATATATCATAGAGATCCCTGGAGGTGTGGAGTTCCTGCTTTGTGCAACACTTTAGGAAGAAGGTCTGGCTGTTCTGCTGAGAGAAACCACCTCATAAAAGAACTCCGGTGTGTAGCAGTCGATCCTGTCGTCTTGAATGAAACAGGGAAACTATCGTATTCCTTATTGTTGTTCATGTGATAACTGTTGTTATCGAGCTTGGTTTTTCACCACGGCATGATATTATGTCAGAAATGAGACACAGGCGCTTCAGATCCTGCGATGACACAAAAACAATCTCGGGTACAATTTGGTGGTACTTGGCTATTCACTGCGGTAAACGTCTTATTAAATGGAATACGAAACTGACGCGGGTCAGTATTAGTCACGGCAGCTGTCTTTGTTGACAAAGAGCATTGTCTGGAGTAGTCAGACAGTGTCACATTTCTGTAATCAGATTTTTAGTAAAAGTCAAACCTGATGAGCCCGAGTCTTTTTCTAAACATGGTCTCCCCCCCCACCCCCTCCCCATCCCCACACTTTCTTAGTACCCTGCTAGCAGTCACTCGACTCCTCTCCGGAAGGTAAAGTCGGGCTAAAGTTTCATGACATTAACCTCATTGATTGTGTATCTATAAAGTTTATGCATAATATGCCAATAACAACAGTACTTGCTTTTCATGGGAAGGGATGAATTATTCTGGCTTTATTTTTGATGGGACATTTGTTTGGTGTACCTGTTGTTTGGTATGTGTACTCTGTGATTCTGTAAGTATGATCCCGAGGGTTCAGGCAGGTTTGGTGCAAACATCAATGGCTTGATTCATTACAGAAGTCCACTGCGTGCAGGCACATTCATTTTCGTGCCGGAACTCGCGGGCGTCAATGGAAATGAAAGAGCTGATATGTTGGCTGGGTCCGCTATCAACGCTGACGCTCAGCCTATGAATCGTGATGATATTAGTAATGCCCTTTGAGAAATGGGAAAGGTAGTGGGCTTTGGGTTCAGTGAATTCAGATCACTGGCCAGAATGATAGACTTTGTGTTCAGTGAATTCACATAACTGGCCAGAATGATAGACTTTGAGTTGAGTAAATTCACATCTCGGGCCAGAATGATAGACTTTGTGTTCAGTGAATTCACATCTCTGGCCAGAATGATACTTTGTGTTGAATGAATTCACATCTCGGGCCAGAAGACTTTGGAAGTAACATTAAAAAAAGACGCACATCAGAGCACTTGTTAATCACAATAGAACTGCTACTATTAGCCACCGGACGCTGGGGTTCACACTCAGGGAAGGATCCGAGCACCTTGGACATGTCTGGAGCAGGGCTGCCAATAATGGCTTTTTATGCCCAGGTCTGGGTTTTTATTTGACGCATTGGGTTGAGATTGTGGAATCTTGGGTTTAAAAAATATATCCTTATATCAAAATGGGTAAGTGTTTCGTTTCGTAGCTTTAAAATTTGTACTTTTTAACAATCTGAGTTTTTTTGCTTATGTATTGCTTGGGTTTTTTTGTTCAGCTGTTTTTTAAAACATCCCATTATCAGCCCTGGTCTGGAGTGCACTGATCAAGAACCAACTAACAAACTGTTTGTATAAGATCGATTGTTTATCATCTGTCGAACGTCTTTATAAAATCAATTCCGTGCTTTAAATATAACTATATTGTGCTTACACTGGAACCATTAGCATCGGAGCGATAAAGACAGAACAAAAACCAAGAGTATATCACCATTAAGATATGGAGAATATGGATCGGGTGGGAGAATATAGATAGGGTGGGAGAATATAGGTAGGGTGGGAGAATATAGGTAGGGTGGGAGAATATAGGTAGGGTGGGAGAATATATATAGGGTGGGAGAATATATATAGGGTGGGAGAATATATATAGGGTGGGAGAATATAGGTAGGATGGGAGAATATATATAGGGTGGGAGAATATATATAGGGTGGGAGAATATATATAGGGTGGGAGAATATATATATAGGGTGGGAGAATATATATAGGATGGGAGAATATATATAGGGTGGGAGAATATAGTTAGGGTCAACTGCACTTGATTGCAAAATGGTAGAACTACTTGGCCTGGGTTAGATGGGAGCCTGTATGCTACACTGGGGAACAGAGGGCAAAATATGACGGAGAGAAACATGGGTTAGTATGTGTTGAGATTCGTGGGTTAGTATATGTTGAGATACGTGGGTTAGTATGTGTTGAGATACATGGGTTAGTATTTGTTGAGATACATGGGTTAGTATTTGTTGGGATACATGGGTTAGTATGTGTTGAGTTACATGGGTTAGTATTTGTTGAGATACATGGGTTAGTATGTGTTAACATACATGGGTTAGTATGTGTTGAGATACACGCGTTAGTATGTGTTGAGATACATGGGTTAGTATGTGTTGAGATACATGGGTTAGTATGTGTTAACATACATGGGTTAGTATGTGTTGAGATACACGCGTTAGTATGTGTTGAGATACATGGGTTAGTATGTGTTGAGATACATGGGTTAGTATGTGTTAACATACATGGGTTAGTATGTGTTAACATACATGGGTTAGTATGTGTTGAGATACACGGGTTAGTATGTGTTAACATACATGGGTTAGTATGTGTTAACATACATGGGTTAGTATGTGTTGAGATACACGCGTTAGTATGTGTTGAGATACATGGGTTAGTATGTGTTGAGATACATGGGTTAATATGTGTTGAGATACATGGGTTAGTATGTGTTGAGATACATGGGTTAGTATTTGTTAGGATGCATGGGTTAGTATGTGTTGAGATACATGGGTTAGTATGTGTTGAGATACATGGGTTAGTATGTGTTGAGATACATGGGTTAGTATTTGTTAGGATACACGGGTTAGTGTGTGTTGGGGTACATGGGTTAGTGTGTGTTGGGGTACATGGGTTAGTATGTGTTAAGATACATGGGTTAGTATGTGTTAAGATACATGGGTTAATATGTGTTGAGATACATGGGTTAGTATTTGTTGAGATACATGGGTTAGTATGTGCTCAGTTACACGGGTTAGTATGTGTTGAGATACCTGGGTTAGTGTGTATTTTCTGCTTCTCCACATAATCTGAACATAGCTTGGTGTGATTGTATGTAGTGCAGCTTGGTGTGGTTGTATGTAGTGCAGCTTGGTGTGGTTGTATGTAGTGCAGCTTGGTGTGGTTGTATGTAGTGCAGCTTGGTGTGGTTGTATGTAGTGCAGCTTGGTGTGGTTGTATGTAGTGCAGCTTGTTGTGGTTGTATGTAGTGCAGCTTGGTGTAGTTGTATGTAGTGCAGCTTGGTGTGGTTGTATGTAGTGCAGCTTGGTGTTGTTGTATGTAGTGCAGCTTGGTGTGGTTGTGTGTAGTGCAGCTTGGTGTGGTTGTATGTAGTGCAGCTTGGTGTGGTTGTATGTAGTGCAGCTTGGTGTGGTTGTATGTAGTGCAGCTTGGTGTGGTTGTGTGTAGTGCAGCTTGGTGTGGTTGTATGTAGTGCAGCTTGGTGTAGTTGTATGTAGTGCAGCTTGGTGTGGTTGTATGTAGTGCTGTTGCTAATGTTGTAGCCTCATTTTAATAGACCTAGCATGGCCTTGTGCTAATAATAAAGGTAATGTTGTCAGGTGACTGTGGTTTGTTGCTATGTCAGGTGACTGTGGTTTGTTGCTATGTCTGGTGACTGTTGTTTGTTGCTATGTCAGGTGACTGTGTTTTGTTGTCATGTCAGGTGACTGTGTTTTGTTGCCATGTCAGGCGACTGTGGTTTGTTGCTATGTCAGCTGACTGTGGTTTGTTGCTATGTCAGGTGACTGTGGTTTGTTGTCATTTCAGGTGACTGTGTTTTGTTGCCATGTCAGGTGACTGTGGTTTGTTGCTATGTCAGGTGACTATGGTTTGTTGCCATGTCAGGTGACGATGGTTTGTTGCCATGTCAGGTGACTGTGGTTTGTTGCCATGCCAGGTCACTGTGGTTTGTTGCCATGTCAGGTGACTGTGGTTTGTTGCCATGCCAGGTCACTGTGGTTTGTTGCCATGTCAGGTGACTGTTGTTTGTTGCCATGTCGGGTGACTGTGGTTTGTTACCATGTCGGGTGACTGTGGTTTGTTGCCATGTCAGGTGACTGTGGTTTGTTGCCATGTCAGGTGACTGTGGTTTGTTGCCATGTCGGGTGACTGTGATTTGTTACCATGTCAGGTGACTATGGTTTGTTGCCTTGTCAGGTGACTGTGGTTTGTTGCCATGTCAGTTGACTGTGGTTTGTTGCCATGTCAGGTGACTGTGGGTTGTTGCCATGTCAGGTGACTGTGGTTTGTTGTCATGTCAGGTGACTGTGGTTTGTTGCCATGTCAGGTGACTGTGGTTTGTTGCCATGTCAGGTGAATGTGATTTGCTGCCATGTCAGGGGACTGTGGTTTGCTGCCATGTCAGGTGATTGGTTTGTTTCTATGTCAGGTGATTGGTTTGTTGCCATGTTAGGTGACTATGGTTTGTAGCCATGTCTTGTGACTGTGGTTTGTTGCCATGTCTGGTGACTGTGGGTGGTTGCCATGTCAGGTGACTGTGGTTTGTTGCCATGTCAGGTGACTGTGGTTTGTTGCCATGTCAGGTGACTGGTTTGTTGCCATGTCAGGTGACTGTGGTTTGTTGCTATGTCAGGTGAATGTGATTTGCTGCCATGTCAGGTGACTGTGGTTTGCTGCCATGTCAGGTGACTGTGGTTTGCTGCCATGTCAGGTGATTGGTTTGTTTCTATGTCAGGTGACAGGTTTGTTGCCATGTTAGGTGACTATGGTTTGTTGCCATGTCTGGTGACTGTGGTTTGTTGCCATGTCAGGTGATGATGTGTACGATCCCTTGCAGGACGCAACCGGCGAAGTCCCAGTGCCGACTCTGGAGACATGATCACACTGGAGCCGCTAGATCTGGTCTGGGCCAAGTGTCGCGGCTATCCCTGGTACCCGGCCTTGGTGAGTAGCATGTTTTACTAACTGTTTCACTTGGTTGTGTGCACGTGCACGTCCGTGTACCCCCTTTCTCTGCTTCTGTCTCCGTTTCTGTCTGATTAACTTTTCCTATTGTTTAGTGCCCTTCTGATTTCGCTTTCGTTCTTTCCGTTATTTTTACCTGTTTTATTAATGACTGTAATAACTCACTGTGGATAGTTTGATTTCAAGTCCTCTTGGCTGGTCGTTGGACATGATATGTGTCGTTGTATAGGAGCCAGGGTGTCTGGCTAGGGTAGACAGGATGTCTGGCTAGGGCAGACAGGGTGTCTGGCTAGGGCAGACAGGGTGGCTGGCTAAGGGAGCCAGGGTGGCTGGCTAGGGCAGACAGAGTGTCTCGCCGAGGCAGCCAGGGTGTCTGGATAAGGCAGCCTGGGTGTCTGGCTAAGGCAGCCAGGGTGTCTCGCTGAGGGAGCCAGGGTGTCTGGATAAGGCAGACAGGGTGTCTGGCTAAGGGAGCCAGGGTGTCTGGCTAGGGCAGACAGGGTGTCTGGCTAAGGGAGCCAGGGTGGCTGGCTAAAGCAACCAAACATGAACACTCGGCAAATTAGATATTTGCATTCCTTTGTGACTAAATTACAGATATGTCATTGAGCAGCTTCGTCCCTCGTGTTGGTGCAATCAACAGAGCCGGCAATCTACCTTGTGTTGGTGCAATCAACAGAGCCGGCAATCTACCTTGTGTTGGTGCAATCAACAGAGCCGGCAATCTACCTTGTGTTGGTGCAATCAACAGAGCCGGCAATCTACCTCGTGTTGGTGCAATCAACAGAGCCGGCAATCTACCTCGTGTTGGTGCAATCAACAGAGCCGGCAATCTACCTCGTGTTGGTGCAATCAACAGAGCCGGCAATCTACCTCGTGTTGGTGCAATCAACAGAGCCGGCAATCTACCTCGTGTTGACATTCATGTTTACTGTAATCAAAACGTGCCAGCCACCGCCGCTTGCCCGCCCAACTGTGTCCATCTATTTATAGACAGAGTTTCTGCTTTAGGAGCAGTCGTTGATCTGGTTATCTTCGACCTTGGCGCGTGCATGCTCTCCTGTTGTCTTCTCTTCAGTTGTCTGGTTTCTCTACCTCGTGTGAGGGGGGTCATTGTCCCGCTCACCCTCTTTGTGCGTGTATAATTTTCTGTGTTTATGTTCATTTTCTCTGCGTCATTTAGTATCGGTCACATTTAAATGCTCAGATTGTCTATGACAGTGGCGACAGATTGTCTATATCAGTGGTGACAGATTGTCTATGTCAGTGGCGACAGATTGTCTATATCAGTGGCGACAGATTGTCTATATCAGTGGCGACAGATTGTCTATATCAGTGGCGACAGGTTGTCTATATCAGTGGCGACAGGTTGTCTATATCAGTGGCGACAGATTGTCTATATCAGTGGCGACAGATTGTCTATATCAGTGGCGACAGATTGTCTATGTCAGTGGTGACAGGTTGTCTATATCAGTGGTGACAGGTTGTCTATATCAGTGGCGACAGATTGTCTATATCAGTGGCGACAGATTGTCTATATCAGTGGCGACAGGTTGTCTATATCAGTGGCGACAGATTGTCTATATCAGTGGCGACAGATTGTCTATGACAGTGGCGATAGATTGTCTATGGCAGTGGCGATAGATTGTGTATGGCAGTGGCGACAGATTGTCTATATCAGTGGCGCCAGATTGTCTTTGTCAGTGGCGATAGATTGTCTATATCAGTGGCGATAGATTGTCTATATCAGTGGCGATAGATTGTCTGTATCAGTGGCGATAGATTGTCTATATCAGTGGCGATAGATTGTCTGTATCAGTGGCGACAGATTGTCTATGTTAGTGGCGATAGATTGTCTATGTCAGTGGCGATAGATTGTCTATGTCAGTGGCGATAGATTGTTTATGGCAGTGGCGACAGATGGTCTATATCAGTGGCGATAGATTGTCTGTATCAGTGGCGATAGATTGTCTATGGCAGTGGCGATAGATTGTGTATGGCAGTGGCGACAGATTGTCTATGGCAGTGGCGATAGATTTTCTATATCAGTGGCGACAGATTGTCTATGTCAGTGGCGATAGATTGTCTATGTCAGTGGCGACAGATTGTCTGTATCAGTGGCGACAGATTGTCTATGGCAATGGCGATAGATTGTCTATGTCAGTGGCGACAGATTGTCTATATCAGTGGCGATAGATTGTCTATATCAGTGGCGACAGATTGTCTATGTCAGCGGCGACAGATTGTCTGTATCAGTGGCGACAGATTGTCTGTGTCATTGGCGATAGATTGTCTATGTCAGTGGCGACAGATTTTCTGTGGTAGTGGCGACAGATTGTCTGTGTTAGTGGCGATAGATTGTCTATGTCAGTGGCGAACGATTGTCTATGTCAGCGGCGACAGATTGTCTATGTCAGTGGCGACAGATTGTCTATGTCAGTGGCGATAGATTGTCTATGTCGGTGGCGACAGATTGTCTGTGTTAGTGGCGACAGATTGTCTGTGTTAGTGGCAATAGATTGTCTATGTCAGTGGCGATAGATTGTCTATGTCAGTGGCGACAGATTGTTTATGTCAGTGGCGATAGATTGTCTATGTCAGTGGCGATAGATTGTTTATGTCAGTGGCGACAGATTGTTTTTATCAGTGGCGACAGATTGTCTATATCAGTGGCGACAGATTGTCTATATCAGTGGCGACAGGTTGTCTATATCAGTGGCGACAGATTGTCTGTATCAGTGGCGACAGGTTGTTTATATCAGTGGCGACAAATTGTCTATGGCAGTAGCGACAGATTGTCTATATCAGTGGCGATAGATTGTCTATGTCAGTGGCGATAGATTGTCTGTGTCAGTGGCGATAGATTGTCTGTATCAGTGGCGATAGATTGTCTATATCAGTGGCGACAGGTTGTTTATATCAGTGGCGACAGATTGTCTATGGCAGTGGCGACAGATTGTCTATATCAGTGGCGATAGATTGTCTATGTCAGTGGCGACAGATTGTCTATGTCAGTGGCGATAGATTGTCTGTGTCAGTGGCAATAGATTGTCTGTATCAGTGGCGATAGATTGTCTATATCAGTGGCGACAGGTTGTTTATATCAGTGGCGACAGATTGTCTATATCAGTGGCGACAGGTTGTCTATATCAGTGGCGATAGATTGTCTATGGCATTGGCGACAGATTGTCTATATCAGTGGCGATAGATTGTCTATATCAGTGGCGATAGATTGTCTGTATCATTGGCGACAGATTGTCTGTATCAGTGGCAATAGATTGTCTATATCAGTGGCGATAGATTGTCTATGTCAGTGGCGATAGATTGTCTATATCAGTGGCGATAGATTGTCTATATCAGTGGCGACAGATTGTTTATAGCAGTGGCGATAGATTGTCTATGGCAGTGGCGACAGATTGTCTCTAGCAGTGGCGATAGATTGTCTATGTCAGTGGCGATAGATTGCCTATGTCAGTGGCGACAGATTGTCTGTGGCAGTGGCGATAGATTGTCTGTATCAGTGGCGACAGATTGTCTGTATCAGTGGCGACAGATTGTCTGTATCAGTGGCGACAGATTGTCTATATCAGTGGCGATAGATTGTCTATATCAGTGGCGATAGATTGTCTATATCAGTGGCGATAGATTGTCTATATAAGTGGCGACAGATTGTCTGTATTAGTGGCGATAGATTGTCTGTGTCAGTGGCGACAGATTGTCTATATCAGTGGCGACAGATTGTCTATATCAGTGGCGACAGATTGTCTGTATCAGTGGCGACAGATTGTCTATATCAGTGGCGACAGATTGTCTGTGTCAGTGGCGACAGATTGTTTATATCAGTGGCGACAGATTGTCTATATCAGTGGCGACAGATTGTTTATATCAGTGGCGATAGATTGTCTATGTCAGTGGCGACAGATTGTCTATATCAGGGGCGATATATTGTCTGTATCAGTGGCGACAGATTGTCTATATCAGGGGCGATATATTGTCTGTATCAGTGGCGACAGATTGTCTATATCAGTGGCGATAGATTGTCTATATCAGTGGCGATAGATTGTCTGTATCAGTGGCGACAGATTGTCTGTATCAGTGGCGAAAGATTGTCTATATCAGTGGCGACAGATTGTCTATGTCAGTGCAGACAGATTGTTATGTCAGTGGCGACAGATTGTCTATATCAGTGGCGATAGATTGTCTATATCAGTGGCGACAGATTGTCTATATCAGTGGCGACAGATTGTTTATGTCAGTGGCGATAGATTGTCTATGTCAGTGGCGACAGATTGTCTTTGTCAGTGGCGATAGATTGTCTGTGTCAGTGGCGACAGATTGTCTGTATCAGTGGCGATAGATTGTCTATGTTAGTGGCGATAGATTGTTTATGTCAGTGGCGACAGATTGTTTATGTCAGTGCAGACATATTGTTTATGTCAGTGGCGATAATCTGAGCACCCAGATAAGGTCCGTTGAAGGAAAAAACAAATGAAAGCATGATTACCCACTTACGATTGAAAGTGGATAATTGTGGTTTCATTTGTTTTTTAGGTCTGCTGCTGCCATTCTGTTGTGAACGCGCTACGTAATGCAGGTGATTTGACAGCAGACCGCCTTATGTTGGTTTCGAACAGTGATATCGTGGGCCGACCTACAGGCGGCATTGACAAACTACCGAACGTAATATTTGGCTCTGCAACGTACTATAAACGATTCGCCAATAATTTTGTTTTTGTAAGTTTGCCATTGCCTTCTGGACGGATGGCTCTCTATACCACTGTCGTTACCAGGGATAGAACCCTGCACTTCGAGGGCTGGAGTTTTACAAAGGGGTTAGCGCAGTTTGACCGCCAGCCGCACGTTCAGAGCGACAACGGGGGGGGGGGGGGGGGGGTGCTGAGACGGTCAGGGTGGGGCGGTAACGGCCTCTGGTTGTAAGGCGTTGAATGATAATAAGACAGCGATATATATATATATAT